AAATCCCGTGCATTCATAACTAAAGCAAAACCCTAAATTACAATCAATGCATTTAACTAATTAAAACAATTACGTCCGTGAAAGAATAATGATAATACAATTAATGTAACTACAGAAAATCAAAATACAATTAAACAATTAACTAATTCAAATAAACACAATTACATAAAACAATTTATCAATTAATTCAAATAAACATGCAAATACACAATTAAACAATTAAAAAAAAATACACAATTAAACAATTAAATCAATTAAACATAAAAACACATAGCCACGTAAACAACTAAAAATGCCCAAGAAATCAAATTTAAATTTAAATTTTATTCTTTTGGAAACTAGGGGTATTACATAATAGTAATTGGGCTATAGTTACAGTGATTCTTAATTCCTTGAGTCTTGCATTTAATATTCCAACGTGCCCATATTTACAAGCTAAACAATGCTTCGGTCCTGCCCCGACCAAAACAAGCTTTGTCTTGCAACATGACGTGGCTATACAAAATTTTAGCAACTGTGCCAATCTAATAAATATAAAATGATTTGGCTATACAAAACAAGCTTTGTCTTGCAACATAACGTGGCTATACAAAATTTTAGCAACTGTCCCAATCTAATGGAAAAGATCGTCTTTGCTCTCATTTCTCTCTCTACCTTTGTCTGAAAATCCAAACCTAAATCCAACACATAGTCAACACCCACAGTCCTCTATGGAAGAATAATCATCAAACTTTTCCATTACCCCTCTCATTCGCCGCCAATGGTGGCGCAATCGTTTCCCCATACTCCACCCCAAAACCACCGTATGGTCCAAACTCGGCGGCTTTGCTGATAATCTCAGCACCTACATCCCCATAATCTTGCCCTCATCATTGTTTCCAACCTCGATCTCATAACCACCTTCATATCCACCGCCCTTTACAACATTGCCACGGGCACCAATGAAGTGCATCACTCACATCGCTGTCTTCGAAACCCCTAACCTAACCTCACCGTCCCCCAAATCGCCGCCGTCAAAATCTCCATTGTCCACCTCATCCTCAGGGTCACCGGCCTTATATGGCTAGTTATGGTTAGGGTTAAAGGGGAAAAGCAAAGCAGAAATGAAAGACATAAAATGGGTTTCTCAAATGGATTCCATCCGGGTAACCTATTTGAACCTACACGATCTATTTTTTATTTTTGAACATATGTCAATTTTTTATAGAGCCACATCATGTTGCATGACAACTGATAGGGCAAGATCCAAGCATTGTTTTTACAGTCTTAGGTTTTTTAGTAAATCCCAGAGGTTTGAAGTTTAACATGGTATTACCCAACATTTAGAATTATAGTTCACAAGTAAAACAAAGTTGCCTTTACATCATTATGGGTCAAATTATTCCTTATAATCCATTTTAGAGTGGCAACGACATATTAGATGATTAATGCATTTATTAAATTCATTCAGCTCTTGGACAGCAGTTATAGTTAAACATTAACAGTCTTATTGTAAAATTATTTGTGATGGTAATGGTTTGTGTCATGGCACGCGTTTTATTACTCCCTTGATTGGGTCCATTAATCGAGGCATGTTCTGACTTCTCACCATCCATTCACAATCATTTTAAGTGTTTTAATAGATGATTTATGAGGGATCCTACCTATGTTCCACTTATGTCACCATTTTTGTTTTGTCGAAGCATTCATGAAGGTTGCTCGTTAAGGCTTGCTTACCTTGAGGTGTCTCTTGATTTTTTTAAGACTTGAAGGTTGCCTCTTGAGGTTTACTTGACCTAAGGTGTTTTTCGGGACTCGAATTTTACCTTTTGGGGTTTTTTTTACATGAGGTGTTTTAAGGTTTTTAGGAATCAAAGTCTTCCCTTCGAGGCTTCTTTGACCTGATGTGCCTAAGGTTATCGGGACTCGAAGTTTGTCTTTTGAGATTTGTTTGACCTAAAAGTGCCTCGGGGTTTTCGGGACTCAATGAATGTGCTTCGAGATTATTATTTTTTAACCTAAGTTAATATTGTGATTTTTTCGGGACTCGAGGTATTATTGACCTGTATTTAATTTTAGGGTTTATAATACTTAGGTTTTTGTTGGTGTGAGTTGGTTATTCTTTAAGATTCTTAGTTGGCATAATTTTTTTTTTTTGCTTTATTTATTTTGTCCATGTGCGTGGCTGATACCCAAAAACATCTCCCATTCAGTTTTTTTTTCCTTTTTTGCTCAATTTTAAGTGAATACGACATTAATTGGAAATGATGCTTCATCCATCCAACATTTTCATGTCATATTTTTTTTATCAACAAAACAATTGAAGCATGTTCCATCATGCTATAAGTTCCTTTTATCTTCACCATATTCGAGACATGTATACCGTAAAAGAACATATAACCATTGCAGCACGTGCTCCAATTATATCTTATTTAGTTAATAATAATAATTTAACATAAATGTAAACGCAAATCGTGATATAATTATCATTTATTTAGTGTAAATTAGCTTTAAGTTTAACTTATGATATTTGAGGTTGTCTACCCACGTAATAATTATCGTTTCTCATTAATTGTTGAAAGAAATTAATTAAATTGATTAAATTTGTATATCTCTTTATTTAGTGTAAATTATAATTTAATGAAAGTTGTTGATTTTAATAATACAAATATTTAAATCCAACTTAAATGTTTAGTACAAGTATTAAATCATTTGGCTCCTTGACAACCGTCGCAGTTGAGCATTAATCGTCCAACTGTAACATTAACTGTGATGGTAATTTCTTATGTCATGGCACATATTTCACTGCTCTTTTGGTTGAGCTTGTTAATCGATGCATGTTCTAACTTTTCATCATCTATTCCACAATCCTTAAAAATGCCCTGAAAGGATATTATTTGATTTGTGAGGGATTATGCCTATGTTCTTTCAACGTCATTGGTTTTGTTTTGCCAAAGCATTCAAAAGGGTTACTTGTCAAGTTTTGCTCGACCTGAGGTGTCTCTAGTTTTTTTTGGGACTTGGAGTTCATCCCTCGATGTTTTCTTTATTTAATGCGTCTTATGATTTTCATGACTCGAAGCTTGTCTTTCAAGGTTCGCTTGACCCGAGGTGCCTCAAGGTTTTTAGGACTCGAAGCTTGTCTTTAAAGGCTTGTTTGACACAAGGAGTTTCAGGGTTCTCGGACTTGAAGTTTGCCTTTCAAGTTTTGCTTTACCCGAGGTATCTCAAGGTTTTTAGGACTTAAGGACCATGCATCAAGGTTGCTTTTTGTTAACCTAAATTAATCTCGTGTTTTTTCACTCAATATCCGTGTCTTAAGGTATTGTCGGCATGTCTTGAATTCTTAGTTTTCTCGTTCTAAATGTTTTGTTAATGTGAGTTATCCTTTAAATTTATTTAAATTTTATTCTTTAAAGTTTATGAGTTGGCATAACACTTCATCATATATATATTTTTTATTTAGTTTGTCCATGTCAACAGCGCGTGCCTGACACCCACAAGCATCCCCTTCAATTTTTATATATTTTAATCAATTTTTAACGAAGATGACATGAATTGTAAGAGATGTCTCATCCATATATCCACAATTTTTCCCGTTCCAATTTTATATTAACAGAACAATCGAAGCACGTTCCATCATTCTCTAATGCTGCGTTTGGCGTGCAAGAATATAATGGAATAGAATGCCCATTCCAACCATTCATTTGTTTTGTATGCAATTTAAATTGGGAATGGTCATTTCATTAGAATGAAAATCCATTTCACAACTAAACCCTAATGTTCCAAGTTAAAAAATTACCACTGCCTTCCACCACAACCACTTTTGTCTTTCACCACCACCGACTTCCACCACTACCACCACGTTCTACCACCACTGTCGCCATTGACTTTCACCATCGCCCACCTCTTTCCACTACCACCTTCACCACCACCGCAATCACCTTTCACCATTGCCACCACCTTCACCACTGCCACCATCCACCACCATTTTTCACTATCGCCACCGCCGCCTCCATTATTTTCCACCAACACTACAGTCACCTCTATTGGCTTCCACCATCGTCACCTACACCACTATCTCTTTTTACCACCACCACCACACTACAACCACCGTGTTCCACCACCATCACTGTTACCGCCGCTTTGAACCATTGCCACTACCGCCACTTTGAACTATTGCCACTACCGCCACTGTCACTATTTATTTTTAAAAAATTATAAAAGAATGTCATTTTGTTAATTTAATTTATTTATTACTAAGAGGGGTATTTTTGAGAACTCAATTTTAAATTTATTACATTTTAAATTTTAAATTAGTTCAAACAAATATTATAATTATTATTATTATTCTATTCCTGTGCATCTCAAATTTACAATAAAATAATAGAATGAGTCTCATTCTCATTTAATTCTATTCAATTTCTGCATACAAAAAGTAACATAAATTTCTTTTAACTTCACTTCAGTGGGGACATACATTGTAAAGGCACAAATAAACAACGTAACACATGCTCCATTTGTATATTGTTTAGTTAATGGTAACAATTTAACATAAATGACAATTATGATACAAATGACTTGTCATGTCTTCTTGGTTGGATGAGATGAGCCACCGATGATTGTTTTTAACTTTAAATTTGAGTTGTGATTATTATTTGAGTAATTATATTCATACTAAATAGTGACTTGCCTAATTAAGTTACTTTTCATTAATTATGTACGTAAAATATAAGTAAGTTGAGGGACCGTTCATTTATTTATGGAATAGATGAGTAATTAAAAAGATTAAATGTTTATTAGTGTAAAAATCATTTTTTTTTACAATTATTTTTCCTTTTAAGTCTGAAACAAAATATTTGAAATGTGTTGGGTTGTATGAAATTGAAACATTGAAAAAGAAATTGAAAATTGAAAAAAAAAAAATTTAAAAAGTTAAACCAAAAATTTATTCAACTTCACAAATTTCAATTCAATGAGAAAGTCTTAAATCAATTGAATTTGTATAGCCCTTTCTTTAGTATAAATTATAAATTAATGGAAGTTGTTGATTTTCAATTTAAATCTAACTTCACCCCCTCAAAAATAAAATAAAATAAAAAAAACAGAGAAAGGAATTGCATCGGAGTTCATGCAGGTGATATTTTCAGCTCTCTAAATGCTATGTATTAATTTATACGTGTCCACATGAGCGAGTACAAAAATGCTAATGTTCCGGTCTCAGTTCGCCACGGCGGGAAACAGATTATTTCGGAGGAAAAACCTCCCTCCAAAATCTGATGTCCTTTTCCCATTGAAAACCCTAAATTATTCACATTGTTAACAAAATCCTAAAACCCCCAAAATCTCTCCAACACATTGAGGGATAGAGAGAGCTCTTTCTCTTTCTTTCCCATCTCTCTCTCTAAATATATAATCTATACCTCTATCTATATATATAGAAACTTCCCCTAATTCTCAAATCCATGGCATTTATTTCCAATGACTTCACTCACAATAACAATAAAGACGAACACAAACACCGACAACTACAGAACGGGCACGAAGAGGACGTCGAGAAGGGCACTCCGTTGCGGTACGTCCCGCTCTGCGACGTGTACTCGGCCACATCTCCATGCGTCAGCGCCAGTGGAGCCTCCAACGTCATGTCCAAGAAGGTCAAAGCCCGAAAGCTCCTCGTTGTCGACCATTTCGACGGTCCTGATGACGATGACGGTGATCTCAAGGCACCGCCGCCGTGCTCATCGTCTCAAAAGAAACCACCCCTCCTTCACTTTTACTCTCGCCGTCGCAAGAAGCCTCGGCATTCTCTCCAAAACCCCTCGTTTTTTGATTCCTCTGTGTCGACTCAAGTTGTAGTGAAGTCGGAAAGCATTGAGATGGAAGAAAGTGAAGATGAGGTCAGGAGATTAATGAAAAAGAAGAGGACGTTTGGGAGCTCTGAGTTGATCAAATTGGGTGTTGATTCAAGCGTGTTGCAACAGAGTGACACGCCTCGGTTGAGAAAAACCCTAAACCGTGACCATAATGCAAACAGTAATATTAGGCGACGAAGAAAGGGTAATCTTTCAGAGAATTGTCAAAACACTGATAACTCCCAAATGGTCAATTCCAGGTCACTCAAGAGATGGACTCGGTATGTTATTCACTTCTTTACTAATTTGCAATGTTCATCTAAATTGTATTCGTGTACGCTGGGCAATCAAATTAGTAATGGAAAATCCAAAATTGTAAATTTGAGTTAAATGCAGATTGAGTTTAGATGGCATTGATCCCAAGATTTTCATTGGATTGCAATGCAAGGTAAGCACTTTATTGTAAATCTTTTGTAATCTTTGAATTGTAATGCTTATATTCACATTGTTACTAAAGTTAAGTTTGGTGTAAACAGGTTTACTGGCCCTTGGATGCTGTTTGGTATTCTGGCCGTATTGTTGGGTATAATCCGTTGACCGACCGGCACCATGTATTTTTCCTATACCTGTACATGTTTATATCTATTTGGTCTAATACGTCATGTCTGTGAAAACAAATTGGTAACATCAGCGAAATATGCCCAGGTTAAATATGAGGATGGTGATGAGGAAAATTTGATGTTATCAAATGAGGAAATCACATTTTACATTTCTTGTGAGGAGATGCAACATCTGAATCTGATTTGCAATACTAAAAGTTCAGATACTGATGGTCTTGATTTTAGCGAGATGGTTGTGTTGGCTGCAAGTTTTGATGATTGCCATGAGCATGGACATGGCGATATCATATGGGCCAAACTCACTGGTATGTGCCGACACCCTTCTATCCATATATGATTGCAGAATATATGTATAAGCACCAATCGTTTGGAGACAATTACACTTCAAAATTTACTTTTAAACAAAACGTGGACATGTTCTTAGCATGGTTGATATGTCAACGTGAGTCATAGGCAAGTCATCTCCCACATAGACATGGCTCTATTTGGGAAGTTTCCGTGATGCATAGATAAAATGAAAGTGGGATAAATTAAGCTTTATATATGCAGTGCTGCATGATCGACAAGTACCTATCAAATTGAAATAAAAGCTTTATAATGTACTGCCAGGGAGAACCATGTTTAGACTAGAATCCTGCAAGATTAAAAAACAAAATTTCAAATAAAATGAATAAAACTGGAATGAAAATGATGAGATGGATGAGTGAAATGACAAGAAATGATAGAATAGGAAGGGAATGCATCTGAAAACACTTAATGGTTTCACCATTAGAGGAAGGACAGCTGTAAGTTGTCTAAGACGTTTTGTCATGTTCAATGAGGATTTTTGAATTGCTATCAGAAGTTTGAAAAAGTAAATTAATTTAAGTAGGAAGTAACAAAAATGTGGACTGAAGTATTTTTTAAAATTGTCTTGATGGCACCTAATCTTAACTGAAGGTCCTTGATAGAGAAAAAGGTATAATTGGATTTTGGTGCATATGGTGTCATGGTTTATTAATTTTTGCGAAGTGTCTATATATATATATATATATTCTTAGCTTGCTTCTTTTATTGGTTTGGAAGTGGTGGCATCAGGAAGGAAAATGCTCTGGCATTGTTTCTTAATTAAAGTTGATCATATTTGTGATGTTGTGGTCCAAATTTGGTTCTAGGCTGTGCTGCTACCCGTTTGCCCCGTGTTTTGCTTGCGGGCCGTGGACCCTATTTAGTACTGTCTTGCAACCTAATATATAAGGGTGTTTAGGGTTTGGAGTGGGATATCGAGAGGCACTAAAAATCAGAAGAGAGAGAGAGAGAGAGCGAGAGCTAGAATTTGGGAGCTGAAACTTGTAATAGAGAGAGAGAGAGAGAGAGAGAGGGCTAGGATTTGGGGGCTGAAACTTGTAATAGAGGGAGAGAGCGAGTGAGAGCTAGGGTTTCAGGGTTGAAACTTGTAATCTCCCGATTTTCGCATAGTGGAACATTTTGCCGGATCTTCACTGTGCACGTAGACACGACATGTGTTGAAACATGCTAAATCTTTGTGTGTGGCATGTTTCTTTTTCTGTCTTGTTTCGTGATTGTTTCTTGGTTTCGTTGCATTTGTCGTAACAATATTTGATATCAACTACCATTTTTCTGATGGATTTTATTCCATAAAGGAAATAAACATGTACACTATTGTGAGGTAGAGCTGATAACCACAACCAAAAAAGTAATCTGTTTTATTTAACGAGTACCTTTGTTTTATAAATATTTGATAAATTGGTGAATATGCTTTTAATATCAAGGATATCTTCCATAAATACTCACATGTATATACATTTATATTCTATGGTAAACATAGGATTTTTAAAACCTCAAATTAAATTATTAACCTAAATTTTACATAGTAATTTAGATTATTGAAAACACTTTAAAATTTAATATAATTGTAAGCAACATTTAGTTATATATGATTGGTGCCTGTCTTTATGTACTTGAATAAGTTTCGTGAAATGTGAAAGAGCGCTGTTTGGGCTATACCCATCCTCATATGCTTTGATTCACATTGCATTTGCATGCAAATGCAGACAATTACGCATTGATGCATAGCAATATTAGCCTAATTCTTGTTTTTTAGAAGCTTTTGGTTGGTGTGATTCGTGTGAAGATCATTTAAACTTGTAGCCGTGGATGATTGACTTATGATGAGTTCAGGAGCACAATTCATTGTTATCCTAGCTTATACCGGATTACATTGAGCTGCTATGCAAACAATTCACTATGTTATTTTTGTTTATCAGAATTTTTGATGACTTTGTCCTGCATTTTGCTCAGTTAGCATTTAATGTTCTCCCTTCTCTTAAATCTTAATATAAATTAAGCCAGGACCTATGTTCTTTCAATGAAAGCCTTTTTTATTTCTTCAAAATGCAAATGTACCTGGAGTCTCCCAAAGGATGTTGGCATCTAGCTTTCACTACTTCTCCATGCTTGAAATGAACTGATTGCAATGCAGTAGCACTGGACTTCAAGATTTGTTGGCTTGTTTTCAAAATGTGAGCTTGACATGTTGTAAAACTCATTTAATGCTTAAACGAAGGTGATGCAGAAGCAAACTTTTTAAAAATATTTTAGACTACTTAAAATTATCCGTTGCAATTTTGAAGCCTCAAGTTGAACTAGTACTGTTAAATTCTGGTGGTTTTAATTCTTTTAGTTGGTTTTCCATTATGAATTCCCGGTGTTTATCTGAGACCTGAATTATTTCATTAGATTTATATAGATAATATATATAGGATGGGCCACTTATCAGTATCCTAAAAGAAGGTAGTAGTACCTTCGCAAGCGTATTATGCAAATTGTTGCGTGATCAATTTGATCTATGTTAATAGTTTTGGTGGATGATAATTCTCTAGTTAGTCACACGCTTGATAAATTTTCCTGTGAAAATGCATTTCCTTTATTTTCATTTTGCGGTTATCTCTTCTAACACTTATGTTCAAGTGTTCTGGTGCAGGTCATGCTATGTGGCCAGCACTTGTCGTGGACGAATCTCTCATCGGTGACTGTATAAGTTTGAATAGAAATTTAGGAGGAAAATCGGTTACAGTGCAATTTTTTGGTACACATGATTTTGCAAGGTATGCAATTCTTTAGTGTTAAGGAATTTATTTTTTTGCTATCTATTACAAACTATTAGGATTATACAAAAAGTGAACACTCAACCGACCTAACAAAGCCTTGTCCCAACTATTTGCCGTTGTATCAATTCTATTTTGTCACTCCGATCTTTCTAATGGCATAATTTTAGTTTATGTATATCCTATCATATCTTTTCTCACTATATCAACCAAAGTTCATATTATCTCTTTTCCCCCTAGAAATTCAGTGTTGTTTCTTTTAGTATCTTGCTCTTCGTGCACTAATGATTTATATCTTTCAGGCTAATATCACTGTCATTTTCCTCGTGATTATCCAGGGTTAATACAAAACAGGTTATCTCATTTCTTAGAGGACTTCTTTCTTCTTTCCACCTAAAGTGCAAGAAACCACATTTCATTCGAAGCTTGGAAGAAGCAAAAACGTGAGCTTACATTTGGAAATTCCACCTTCAATTTAAATGTCAGGAGAAAATGATGTTTATGATTTGTTATTCAGCCTAAATTTGCATTTTTCTTATCTTGCATAGCATTAGCATGTTTAGTCATTCTTGGCATGGTTGACTCTTATCATGTATATGTTTCTCCATGTATTGACATGGTTATGCTTTCATCACATCTCATATTTTTTGAGGCATTGTTTCGTGCGCCTTATAGCTACGTTTTTAATTCGTATTGACTAGATTTTGAATAATTTGTGCAGAGGATATAGACCTGGTGAAACAAATTTGTGTTATTTGGTTATTTTCCCCTCCATCTGCCCATCTAATGGCTTCAGTTTGTGATTTGCTTTCTATGTTCACTGTTTGTGCGAGCTTATGCTTGAATCCTTCAGGCTTAGCTTCAAGGTTGAAAATTGTTGCACACAATTGACTTTGCCTCAATGCTTTGCTTTGCAGTATTTTATCTTTTTAGTGCGTAAAAATTCCAGATTCATGTGCCACTTTCTGCCATTGTTCCCTTTCAAATCCTTTTCCTCACACCATGTTATGGGTTTACCTTAATCTTGGATCGTTATAGCGGCTCATAGGTGCAAGATGTAGCTTTTTTTTGGTTTTGTTTTTGTTTATTTTGGTTATAGCAGCTCATAAGTTATAGCGGCCCCTAGGTCCCATTGGATTTTTGGCAGAAGGCCAGAAATTGGAACACAATGATTCCGCTCATTTATATCCTTCCCTTCAGGGTTTTTCTAATGCTGGAGCATTCTGAATTTCTGTTCTGTTTATCATTGTAGGATTTTCTTTAGAGTTACAATAGTAGTTATTGAAAGTTTGACTGCCTTTCAACCCAGTTAGGGGGCCAGGTCATTAGTTCAATTGCCAGTGTCTAGGTCAGTCAGTCAAACCAAGATGTCATTCCTATATGCTGTTATATTTTTATAGTTTACGAAGTGTGTTAAAAAATAAGAAGAATGAAGAGTATGTTGTTTCATACTGTTGTTTTTACTGATCTTCTCTCTCTCTGGTCGGGATAATCATTAGTGCTTAAAAGTTTCAAAAATAAAAAGATGAGGTATGAGTATCTATTTTTTATCAGGTATCTTAGCGAACAGAGGCTTCCAAGCAGAATGTCGAGGCTGCAAAATGGTATTGAGGCTGTTGATAGTGGAAGTGCAAGTGAAGAGAATGAAGGCAGTGCTGATTCAGGTGAAGAATATGCAGGACATGACGGGATACAGAGGAAATTGGAAGGCTTTAGAACTTGCCCATTTGAGATAGGCGATTTGCAAGTATTGAGCCTTGGTAATTCTCTTCAGTTTACCTTTCAAAAAAGGGGGACAAAAAAAAATCTCTTTAGTTTTGAATTGCCACTGCATTCTGCAAAGCTGTTATGACATTCTGTTTCACATGCACTGTGTCGTGTGTGTATACTGTCACGAGTAATTAGGTTTTCATCATTGAGAGTTGATGTCTTAACTGTTTTAGGACATGACACTCAGTCTTTATACTTGACTTCTGAGATAGCTTCAAAACCCTGCCCCCACCCCTGAAAAAAAGAAAACATTTTTGATGGATCATATATTTTAACTTGTAATTGTTATGAAGTAAGAGTGTTCCTTGATTAATACTTAGAAAAAAAAAGAACGTTCCTTGATTAATGAGACTATTCAACTCATAAGCATTCCAATATACAGGGAAGATTGTTAAGGACTCAGATTATTTCCACGATGAGAGATTCATCTGGCCTGAAGGATATACTGCTTTCAGGAAGTTTGCTTCAATAACAGGTGAATCATTCTTTTTGAAGACATTCATTATTTTGCTGCAGATTATAGTTCTGCCACATCCTTTTCCTCTAGTTATTTTGACCATATTGGGCTTAGTTACATTTGTTAATGTTTCATGTCCTTTGCTTTCCTATTTGGGGTTTCAGATCCAGGTGCATTTTCCTTGTATAAGATGGAAGTGCTGAGAGATGCTGACTTAAAGATCCGGCCTCTGTTTAGAGTTACAGTGGATAACGGAGAACAGGTATAAGTAATGCAATAAGCTTGCACCGAAAAATTTGAATTTGTAGTTGCTCCAACTTCTTTGGTTGTTATTATATGGTTTTTGTTCTTATCTTTTTGGTTTTTGTTCTTATTTTTTTGGTTTTTGCTCTCCATCACGCGTTGTACTTTTTACATGTTACAAACAATACAATTTTTGGCTTTCAGAAATTTAAACTTTTAGTGTTGTGAACTTGTGACCAACCCATTCGATATATAATTAGAAAAATAATTTTCATTTGCAATCTACAAATGGTCTAGCAACTCAGAATCTGGACTATTTAATAAAGAGTAGGTAAAAGCATTTCTTACTGCTTGATGTCAATTGTGTTTTTGAAGAAGTCAGTCGGAAAAGCATAAAATCTCATAGGATATAATGCAAGCTTTCATCCATCTTCTCTTTTGCAATATCCTGAATTTTTAAACAAATGGATAAGTTGTTCCATTGATGTGTTTATGGGCCAATTTCAGTTCTATTGCCATGGATAGTCAACCCAAACACTGCTTAGCATTGGTCACTAGGCACATTGTCTTGTATTCACATGCTATTCTTTTAAGTCTAATTCCGTGACGGGGCCAGAACATTGAAATCTGATACCTATTTCTTTAGGCAAGAAGGGAGGGCCTAGTAGTTGGATTATGTTATGATCTCTCTATGCCTCAAGGGGCCTTGTCCCACCAACCTTGCCTTCATGGAACCCAATAGAAGAACCATCATGAGGTGTACCTCTAAGACCACCCCAGTAGAAGAACCATCATTACATTCTCATTGGTTTAATGCCATTGTGGATGAAGGTTGGTATTCAGTATATTGTCTGTCGTAATCAATTCTTTAAGTTTCTTGTTTCCTCTCTCTTCCAAACTTAAGTATTGAATTATTATTCTCTCCTCCCTTCCCATGTTAAGATAGTTTTTACATCTTCATGTTGGTGCTTAGTTATGTAGTCAGGCCACTATTTTTACCACCTTGCATCTATGAGACGGGCTTGGTAATTGCCTTTTACATTGTTGTAGTATAGTCAAGGACACAAGTGGTTACTTAATTTGTTCTTCTAGTTTGATCAGAGACTACATGTATCAATTTCTAGGTTGATAGTAGGGTTAAGTGCAAAAAACCCCCCTCTACTATCGATATAGTGCAAAACGGTCCCTGTGTGGTAAAAAACCCCCCTGTACTATCAATTTGGTGCAAATAGGTCACTTTATGGTATAAAATGACGATAATACCCTCACTTCAGTTGAATAAATTAATAACTCTAAATACAGGCCTGTAAAATGACCCTTTTATCCACTTATCAAAAAAAAAGAAAAAAAAAAAAACTTACCTTCGGTCTTTACAACTGCCACCCATTAACTAGAGAGGCTCCAACACATACACACTCTCTCTCTCCTCTCTCTCTCTCTCTAAACATTTTCTCCTCTCTTTAACATTGTCTTTTGGTTTTTTTTTTCCCGTTATTTAACTTAATTTTTTTTTTCTATTTATGATATTAATCGAGGGTTTAATTCGTTGAAGATCAGAGCTTTGTATTGCTCTCTCTCTCTCCAGGTGCATGTAAATGGGGTTTGTAGAGAGAGAAATAAAGTTGTAGTCTTTTTGGGTAGAGAGAGAAACCCAACTCGCCCAACGGCTAGATTTTGAGTGTAAGATCTCTTCTACTTTCGAATTTTACAGTGTGATTGTCTATTTGACTGCTGAATTTGAGAGAGAGGTCTAGAGAGAGACACTGTTTGTTGTTGTTTTTGTAGTATACAGGCCATGGAGGAGAGGTTGATGTTGGAGACTTGGCCGGAGGAGTCGCAGGAGACGCCGGTCCACTTGCAGTGGTTGGAGCCGGACGGCATTGGGGAGATGGATTTGGCAAGCTTGGCCATTACGGCCGCTTTGCAACCTCCGCCATCGGCCGCCGTGGAGGAGTTGAAGAGAGAAAAAATTGCGGTGATTGTTAAGAGAGAAAACAATGGTTTTCTAGGAAAATCCTCTTCGTCATTCATTGTTATTGTTGTTTCTCATTCTCTGGACGAAGATGGGGCTTCGTCTTGGTTAGCTGCTTCTTGATTCTCTCAGATTTCGCTTGATGAGATAGCGACCTTATCTCATTCCGTCTATTGGCCCCCAAGAGAGAGGGTTTATTGAATCAGATTCTCGCCCCAATCCTAGAGCCATCATTGAGACATTACAGAGATGAGAGAGAAAGAGAGAGAGATTTCCGTTTAGTTGATAAAATCATTGGTCCAATGCCGGAGATATTTGGATCGTTCCCGAATCTGCAAACGGTTAGACTTGCATGGGTTATACCCGAATTACATAGGCAATGGCCAATTTAATACACATATGGGTGGGGCAAAATGGGTATCAAAAAGGTAAAATAGGGTTTTCATTTTTACTTTTTGCAAAAAAGTGGTCAGAGGGGCTTATTTGTACCTTTTTTGAATTTTATGGACTAATATGCACATTTTCGAAAAGTAGGGACTAGTTCTGCACAAACCCTATACATTAGGGGGGTTTTTTGCACTTAACCCTTGATAGTAACACAAAGATGATGCTTAGGAAACCAAGTGATTAGGTCAGCACCAAGATCTCCCCTCCAAGCTCTAGGGTTAGGTCGGTACCAAGGCTTCCCCCTCCCAGCACTCGCTTGTATTTGGAAGAAAAGCACAAATCTATGCTTCATCTCAGTGGGCATTCTGCGAGTTTGAATTGTATATATAAGTTTTACATCTGATTTGTTCTCCTTGAATATACTTCATCTAGTGGTCACCTTATCTTAAGCATTAAAATGTGATGTTACATGTAATAAACTGATATACTTGATAATTAGGACATCCTGTTATATTCTCATTTTACTAGAGCTGTCAACGGATTGGTGTAAGGATAGGGAGCACCTGCAATTTGATTCAATCTTGTAATTTGACGGATCATCTGCCAATAAATTTATATGCTATCTTGCAGTTTATTGGATATCCCTGATAACCGATTGGTTAAGATATGGGCCTGCTTGGTTTGGAACTCTGAAAGCAGTTCCCAGAAACTCAGAAAACAGAGGGGCATTTTTATAACCGAGTTTTCAAAAAACAGTTTTTAAAAACTGTTTTTTAACCAAGCAGAGTTTTTTGTACAGTTTTTTTGTTCTCAGAAAACTGTTTCCATAGTTACAAACCAAGCAGGCCTGTAATTTTTGTTAAAATTGTAAAATATAAATTAGAAAAAAGTAAGATATTTGATTCTTGGTTAAAGAAAAAAACAATAAAGAGTAAAAAAAACCAAGAAAGGGAAGAAAAAAAAATTAAAAAATGGAAAAAACTGAAATTTTTATGGGTTTCAATACTATATGTGATAAATCACTATGTAAACAACATTTTTTTCCCCATCGAATGCATGCCAATTGAATAATAGATAATATATGTATAGCATATTATATATTATTTATGGTCAGGTTGGATTATTATTGGATTGGATTGATCATAATCCATATCTGATTTGTTAATTTTAACGGACTATCAGATTCATATCATTAACGGATTGTGCGATTAAATATTCAATTTATGAATTATTTGATTGGATTCGGATCAGACCTGGTTCCAGTCAATATCCAGTCCATTTGATAGGCTACATCTAAGGAAAGTTACATGGAGATGGTTGGATTGGGAATTTTAATATGCTGAGATAATCTGAGGATTGTGTGGAAATATCAGTTTTAAATTCATGATACCATGATTGCAAACAAGTTGCAATTCTGTGTGTGTGTGTGTGTGTCTCATTTTCTGTCTTTGGAATTTAGTTTTAATTTTTTTAATGTTGGAAAGCATAATTCTCTGTAGCCATAAATGCTGATACTCTATCTATTTCTTGTTCATATATAATATCTGTATCCCCAACATCAAAATTCATGAAAAATAAAACTTTTTTCTTGTATTTAGGGTTCTATTTTCTGTGTTAATGAATTTCTTGATATCCCCGCCAAGAACATGAAACTAATTTCCCAATGATGTTTATATTTTTTCACACTTGCATAAAATGTGTTTTATTGTCAGTTGCTTCATGTTTTATTGATAAGTGATCTAGAGTTTGTAGTTGCCAATATGTAAATGGATTTAGTTATTTATTTTTTCAAGAGGTCAGGAACATGGAGATCTTTTCATGTGTAATATTGTATCACATTTTGACTGAGCCATTAAAAGGATCCCATCTCCATCATTCTTCTAGTTCGTTCAGAAGTAGTTTTTTGTCACAAGTTGTACTGCCATGAATTTGGTTCCACAAGGATGGACAGTTATTGTGAAAATAGTGAATGCTGGGCGATGATCCTGAATTGGCCGGAATGAGACGTTGGAAACTTCTAAAAAAAACTGTGGGAAAGAATAGTTGGAGCTTGAGTGTGAATTGCAATTTTTTTACATTTATTGTCCTTTCTGTTCCATGGCAATTTCAAGTGCTATGTTTTATTTATAGGCCTCCATGCTTATTTTCGAAACCATTTCTTGAATGCAGCGTTCTTAAAATGACAATTCTTTTTCTTTTTTCAGTTTGAAGGATTCACTCCATCTGCTTGCTGGAATAAAATTTACAAAAGGATAAGGAAGTCAAAATGCATTATTTCTGACAGTTTTAGAGCTGAAGGTGGAATAGAAAGGATCTTTGGATCTGGTCCTGATATGTTTGGTTTTTCTGATCCTGAAGTTTCAAAACTTATACAGGTGTAGATCATTATGTATCATGCCAGTAAATATTTCGTTTTCCTTCTCTTCTGTCGTTCTATGTATATTTAAATTTTGTTGTGTCACGTGTTCCTCCTTTATCCAAGGATGTTTGTTATACAGTAATATAGTACTTAGTAGATGAGTCAGTTTCAGTAATCACTGTTAATTTGTCTGATTTATTATTTCTACTATTATTTTTCAAGCTTCTGTCGTAAATTATTGTCATTGCTACTGGCAGGAATTATCAAATTTCAAGCTTCCTTCAAAATCCTCTAAGTTAACCTCTGCAAGATATCGAGACCTGCCTGTTGGTTACAGACCTGTTCGTGTCAATTGGAATGACCTGGATAGGTGCAGTGTTTGCCACATGGATGAGGTGAAAAAGCAAGTTTTCTGTTCAATCATGTTTTTATTATGTTATGCCCCTGTTATTCATAATAATTGTCTCCTTTCACTTGCTGTGCATTTTCACCTTTATATTATTGTTTAAATACTGAATACTGCTCTTCGCTTTGGAAGCTGTATCTTTTCGATTTTTATGGATTGGGCGTGCTTCTGTTCTTGCATTTTACTACTCTTCTGATTGTTTTTACCTCCTTTTACTAATGCTTTTTAGTGTTTCTATGTTTCTGACATTTCATGTGTAGAATCTTCTAATGGGATTGTTTGGTTTTCAGGAGTACGAGAATAATCTGTTTCTGCAGTGTGATAAATGCAGAATGATGGTAAAGCTTTTTGTACACCAATCTACTATGTCTTCTAAGCATGTGTGTCAATTGGAATTTGTGAAGTTGTTTTAAACATAAAAAGTAATATTTGCCATAATGTCTATTTATTAAATTGCTTTTTCGCTACTGATGTTTGAGAGTATTTAATTTGGGTTCCCCGTTTTTTTTCTTCTTCTTTTTTTCCTAGTTGATACTCACCCCCCCTTCTCAAGGAATTGTTTGCACCCAAGAGGAGTCGAACCTTAGACCTGTTACTTCCTGAGGCACCAGGGCCAAGTGACTTACCCACTTGTGCCAACCCCTTGGGATTCGTTCCCCCGTTTTTTTAATTTTGAAATTTGGAAAGTTTTGATGTTTGTGCCTCTTTGTCATTTTGGGTTTCATTAGTGTTTACTAAGGTCCATGCTAGATGGTATGGGGAATTAGAGCCTGTTGATGGGGTATTTTGGTTATCCTACTTATGCCATCCATTAACTCTGGTTAACTGCTGTGGTTGTTCAAAATATTAAGTATCCATTATTTTTTACTACTAAATAAAATTGATTAATTAATCATGGGAAACTGATTTGAGATTGTGGGATCTGATACCATTAAAGCCCTGGCTTGAGTGTTATTTCCACCTCGCCAAAGGGGTGGTTGATGTTTCAAGCCCTATTGGTGGCATGATCGTGCGAGTATACTTAACTGTCCTAGAGAAAGTAGAAAGAAATTGTGGGATCCGACATTATCTCAGGCAGTTTAAAGCATCAAATATGTTTTTCAATGACTATCTGTTATCAATTTGTTAAATTGCTATTTATTGATGTTTGTGTCAATTTTCATCACAATATTTATTTATTTTTTAATTCATCACGGTTGATGTTTGTACTTGGTACCTATTTTCAGTCATTTTCTTGGTTTTACCCATAGTAATGGTCCTAATGGATGCTCAGGTTCATGCTAGATGCTATGGGGAATTAGAGCCTGTTGATGGGGTACTTTGGTTATGCAACTTATGTCGTCCAGGGGCTCCTGACTCTCCACCACCCTGCTGCCTTTGTCCAGTTACAGGTACTCTGATGTCATTAAGATTTTTTGTTTTTTGTTTTAATTATTATTTTAGTTAGTGAATAATTTTTTTTTTTGTTTTCTTTTTTTTGCTAGGAGGGGCTATGAAGCCTACAACAGATGGGCGCTGGGCTCATCTTGCTTGTGCGATATGGATACCAGGTATCTCTAGTGTGAGTTGTACATTTTCTTATTTCAAATTTATCTGTTCTGTTACCAATGGGAAATAGTCCAAATGGTATGATCTTTCCTCCTCAAAGGGAGGTTGAGTCTTCTAGCCCTTCTAGGGGAGCCTTTGTGCGTGTTTGCTTGAACTTTTCGAAAAAAAAAAAATTTATCTTTTCTGTTCACCGATTTCTATGTTTTTATTTTTTTTGATAAGTCACCGATTTCTTATTTTTCAGAAACTTGCTTATCTGATGTCAAGAAAATGGAGCCTATTGATGGGCTGAGCAGAATCAATAAGGTACCTCCTTTGTTTTTATCAATTTTAGTAGTTTCCATTGCGAGGATCTTCTATACTTAAAATTTCCTGAAACTAATACCATCACCATTTATTTTGAGGATAAAGGTATCCTTGTTAATCACTTATAATCTCTTTCGTGAACATTAAGCATTGCAAGTGTCATATAGAAAAAAGATAAAAGTAAGAAAGAAAAAATAAAGGACATCTGTTTCGGGTATTTAGATCATACAGTTTAAGCAATGCGTCATCTTAATATCTTAAATTTTTCCTAATCTTCTTCTTCTTCTTTTTTTTTTTTTAGGACCGTTGGAAGCTTTTATGTAGCATTTGCGGTGTTGCTTATGGGGCTTGCATCCAGGTAAGCTTGTAATTGTTGCTTAATCACATGAAAGGTTATCCCGAGTTGTTTATCCTTAATTTTAAACTTTCTTATTGTGGTACTCTTCTTTTCTAAATTTGGTACATTTTTATGTCCGAACTGAAAATTTTGAATGACAAAGGAAAAAAGATGAAAAGCATAAAATAATGTAATCATGTAATTATAATTTTGCCCAACCCCCAAAAAATAAAATTATGATATATAAAACTAAAAAAAAAAATCAACAATGTCATAACCTCTCTGTGACCTTTTATAACATTCATCTTTGTTTACATTTTTCTTTTTCTCTTCCTTTCCTGAATATTTCCTTCTGAGTTGTAGTGAGTCCTCGGCAAGCATCTCTTCTTTTCACAACTGTGCTCTCTTTTCTTCTGGGCTTCTTGCCCTTCTGGTGCTTTCAGCATGAGCGAAATAATTCTTTGATTATGTAGCCATTGCCATTTGTTGAATGCGACTTAGAATTTGTTGGATGTTACTAAAACATCATTGTAAAAAATTGTTTTTTTTGAGGATTTGAAGCATCACTTTTCTATGTTTGCATTTTCAAGTTTTATTTACTTTAGGAACGAAAATGTGGTCTTGATTTTGCCTATTCATCTCCATACCTTCTAATTTTATATCACCTTTGTATGGTTTTATGTTCAGATTCACCTAAATCTTGTGTCATTGCGTAAAATGATACTTTTATTAAGGAAAATACAACAGGGTGCCTCTTCCTAAATGTGGAAGGAGCTTTTCTATGATCATTGGGAAAGGTTTGGGTCTCAATGTTGACTCTGAAAGTACGTCTATCGTGATTACAGGAGACTTTGCAACCGTTCTGATTATAGTTGTTGCACTGTCTGTGTAACTTGGATCACATGAAGTAATGTCATGCCTAAAAGGTCAAAGAATTCGTGTCAGACCCCGACATCTGTTGAACACACCCTGGCAAGTATTGGACATGCCAAAAGACATGTCCGGATTTTTTCGTAATTTTCAAACACATTGCAGGCAGAACACAGACACACCATGGACACGTGTCCAACAGGCGCGTCACATTGTTAGGGTTTTTCTCAAAATATTGAATGCATCTTGAATTGCGATTTTGTGACCCAAACATAATTGTCTGTGTCTCTAAAAATTACTAAAAAATAGGATAAGAAACCTTGTCACTAAAAACTACTAAATATAAAAAATTAGAAGAAATCGAATCTGTTTCGACCACAAACCAAAAATCCTGAAATCCCTCTCGATGCCCTTAAAAATTTTGGTTTAAAAAATTATTATTATTGTGGTTGCCGAGCAGTTCAATTGTGCAGTTCTTTCAGAATGTAAAATGTATGTAAATTTCGGTGGTTCAATTTTGGAGAATGCACATTCAGTTAGTGTATGGAGGACCATGGCATTTAAAAGATTCTTAAACATATATATATATATGTATATATATATACTAATGTGCTTTTTTTTCTAGTTATAGCAATTATGGTCTTTGTTAAAATTTGCATGTTAAATAGCTTTGACTATTATGCTCCGTTTGGTTGGAGGGATGGAAAAATAGATGGAAGAGAGAAGGGGAGGGATAGATGAGGCATCCCTAGAGAAGGGAAGTTGCGTACCTCACTTTTTGTTTGGTTGGAAGGAAGGGAAAGATTGTTTTATATCATTTTTACCAATATACCCTCATTAATGCAGTAGGGCTTAACAAACAAACTTTTGGGTTGGTTAAAAAGGTAAATTATATATTTGTTAGTTATAATCCTTCTTTCTCTCTTCTCTTCCCCTCAATTTTGGACGGATAGGAAAATACAAATAAAGGAGGGATAAAGCATCCCTCCTTATTTCCTCCCCATCTTCCCTTCCCTCCAACCAAACATGGAGGAGTTATTGTATCCCCCCTCTCATCCATTCTTCCCCCATCATTCCCTCCAACCAAACATACCATTATGGATACAGTAGTTTTCTGCATTATTGAAGGTTAAGACTACTGTAGCATAAGGTAACAACTGAATGAAATTTGACACTCGCTAATAGTATGAATTTGACTGTTTTTAGATGACCCAGTTAGCATTTGTAGCCTCAAAATTTCCTATGCTGTTCTAAGTGATTTCTTCGGTTTAGATGGTTAGATTCATACATTTAATATACTTATTATTGGCTTGTTTAGCCATAGCTTTTATTTTAGAAAGTGAAGCCTCTTACTAGTAATGGACCAAAAAAACAAAAACTTTTTAAGGAATATATGATATCTGTGGCCATTTATGTTGGGGTTTGCTACTTCATTAAAAGTGCGATACCTCCTTTTACATTGTTGACCTCCTGTGTTCCTGAAGAAAATAATTTGGTTGGTCATTCCAAGTGCTTGTGTGCTGAGATGAGTGGAATAAACTTGATCCATACTTGCAGCTATCCTTGTGAACAAGGTCATTTAAATCTAAAACATTCATTATTACCTGGATGTGCACATAGTGTGGAAAGTAAAAATGAGAAGCAGAGTTGGGAAATGGAATTAATGGAAACAGGAAAATGATTTAGAATGGAGAATTTAGAGTGGTGTTGGAATCGGAAAGCCATCAATTTTTTATTTTTTTATTGGAGAAGTGTCAAAATAACCGTTTATGAGAATTTTACACAAAGTGTGCATTAATCTTCTCGATATTTTCAGGATGGTTTGTGGTGTCAAAAATATTTTTACAGCAGTCTGCTGGGGCCTAGATGGCGACCAGTCGATCCATGCTATCTTCTATATGATTCCAGCTGGACTTAATTATTGGGGTTGACTTCATTTCAATTTTACATTGCGAATAACCAATTAAATAAATTTTCATTTGTCTTGATTACATTGTTAAAATCTTAGCCTTCTGTGCAGAGGTCTCATCTATCTTGGAAGGGCCAAGGGTGAATATCTAACCCTCTTGGATGTTTTAAAGGAAGTTTACTAAATAGGTTTTAGACATTGTTTGACTGAGGGTGATGTAGAGGTAGTTCTCAATTGGTGTTATAGGCTTTTGGTTTGTGGCATTATGGTCACTTTATGAGAAATAGAATGGATGTCTTCGTAGCATTACAGGCTGATGTAGAGGTAGTTCTCAATTGGTGTTATAGGCTTTTGGTTTGTGGCATTATGGTCACTTCATGAGAAATAGAATGGATGTCTTCGTAGCATTACAGGCTGATGGATTCCTAGATTGGGTAATGAGCAGTCTCATTTCTCCACTAAGAAAGGAGCTTTGTCGATTGTGTTTGTTAGGGACCTTTCGTAACACCCCCTCCCCATCCCTAGAGCCTCGTTTTGATAGGGGTTGTAGGATTGTCTTCTTTGTATCAAGTTATTTTAATTGATACGCTCTCTATAATCACTTGTGAGGGATTCTTCATTCTCCTAATCACTTGGATTATTATTATTATTATTATTTTTTTCTGAATAAAATTTCTTCTCTGCTGTTTCTTATTTAGAAAACTAATTTCCAAATGGTAATTACAGTGTTCAAACAATACTTGTCGTGTAGCATATCACCCCCTTTGTGCACGTGCTGCTGGCTTTTGTGTTGAGGTACCTTGTTCATTCGTTACTTCATTTGTGCCTTTACAAATTTAAACCATATATATATGTATATTATTGGAAAATATTGCACTATATTTTATTTAATTGAATGCTCTTTTTTCATATCTTATTATTTTTTGTTCTTAGCTTGAGGATGAGGACAGACTACATCTCATTTCTTTTGATGAGGATGAGGAGGATCAGTGCATTCGTCTGCTTTCCTACTGCAAAAAGCATAGGAAATCATCTAATGAGCATGCAGCCACTGATGAACGGATAGGATGGATTACCTGTCAATATTCAGACTATGCACCTCCATCTAACCCATCCGGTTGTGCTCGCAGTGGTATGTTATTGTATATTATGTCTTGTTCTTTTATGAGACTACTGTAACTGATCACTTCTCAAGATTGTTAGTGAGATCCATGTGTGGTTGCATCTGTGCATGCTGAGACACGAGACATACTAACAATTGAAGCTTGAAAACTTCAAGTAATTCGCCAGAAACAATTGTACGATTTAATTTGTTTTTATTCATTCTTCTTCTTCTAAAATCTGTTTTCTGACAATTTTATGAACCTCCCTTGAAATTTTAGTTTATATTACCCTTCCATATCAGGTTTGTTTGGTAGCAGTGGTGATGGTAATGATAAAATTACATTCCTAGAATTCGATTGAAAGTCTATAATTTTTGCTGAGTAGTTTTTTATTTTGTTTAACCCTGAATTATTCTTTGCCATTTGTTGACTATTTTTTTGGGGTCCATTCTCCCAATTTCCAGTCAGAGCAATCATTGGCAATGCTTGTCCACATGGACCAACTCCACTTGTTGAAACTAAGAAACCACTCACCAAGTAAAGAATAAGAAAACCCGAATAGAGAAAAAAGTAAAGAGAGAATTGATAATGACATACCAGAAGCGATAAACGTTCACATGGAACGGGGGTTATCTTGAATCCACAAGGAAAAGAAAATTCATTGAGGAATATGATATTTTATTGATAAAATTGATTGATCTTTTCTGCTATTGCAGTATATGTTTTTATAATAAATAAAACCCTAAAACTATAAAGGAAACTAATAGCATAAAAGAAACTAATTGCTTAAGTAAACTAAAAATATAAAGAAACTAATTGTAGAAGGAAATTAAAAACCTAAAATTAAACTCCCTAAAAATTGTACAAAAATAAAAATAAAAATAATATAAAACCTACTAAAACCGTCCTACATTAGTCCCCTTAGCTTTAAAAAAATTTGTCCTTAAATTACTTTGAGACTAATTAGATGGTGAGTCAGTTGCTCATTCTCATGCATTGTCCTGTGGCGAGGGATTGTTGGAATCTTATCTTTTGTCTGTTTGGTATGCGTTGGGTTATGCCTTGTTAGCCTGAGGATTTGATTCGTATTTGGAGAGGATGCCGTGTGAGTAGTGCTGTTCGCGATTATTGGAGAGTTGTACCACATTGTGTCTGGTGGTGCATATGGAAGGAGAGGAATAGTAGAATGTTCGAAGGGAAAGAGTCGTCTATGGCGATTCTGAAACTTCACATCATTCGCTCTATTTTCAGTTACGTGAAGAGGAAGTCTTGTTCCCCTCCCGATGGTTTAATTATTTTTTTCGCTTTTTTGGGGCCTTAAACCCTGGTTCCACTTTTGTATAAGGGATGCGTTCCCCTATTGAACGCCTTTTTAATTCAATTATTACTTATCAAAAAAAAAAAAAAAAATAATAGAAACAAAATTTTATACCATTGAAGACTGAATCGTAATGCGTCAAAAGTTTCTTCCATCCTGTATTTCGCATACAATTTAAAATTTTCATAGACCAATTAGCAGCTGATCCTTGTTGCTCACCTTCGATAGTAGACTTATTTTCCCAACTATTAGGTCCATGAGAAAGCTCATTATGCACAAATTGATCAAACCATATATGATTTCCAACATAACATATTTGACTTGACTTTCCTTTATTATTAGCTCTGCACAACTCACCTTTGAGACAAAGGGTGTGGCCTAGCGGTACCAGACCCCTACTTTCCAAAGGGAGGTCAGGGATTTGAACCTCAGTGGAGGCATGTGTGTGTGAGTACCAACTAGGAAAAAAAAAAAGTTGAGAGAACGTGTGGGCCAACATAGAAGTATGATCCATAACAACTACAATTACATCTTAAGATGCGAACTGAGATTGTTCATACCCAAACTTAAGAGCCAAACCATTACCACCAACTTCGCCAAACTGATGTTCACAACTCTGGACCCAAGAATGAGTGTCATTATGTTCTTCCAAGTCTTCTTCGTGATCCTTCAAAGACGGAACCATGTGATTACTTGGACAAGAATCTCCAAGCCCCACGTTGTATTGCTCATGGTCTTGAACCTCTTGTTCTATTTGTGGTTTTGTTGAACCATCAATTATGTCCTCGAAGGTGGTCTTTGACTCTTGGTTCCGTTCATCTCTCACATTCTTCTCTAATTTATTCAACCCATTAGTTAAGTCTTCGGAGTCGGTCTCCGAAGTATTCTTATCGAGAGCCTTCTCAAGTCATCTTTAATGGATAAAGCATAGACAATCTTATCATCCTCAACTACAAGTGGTGAAACAATAATTTTTTTCTCACAATCAATCTTGTGAGTTTCACTAATTGCTTCTACAAAATTATCACTATTCTCGATGCCATCGTTGAAAAGCTATCTCTCTTTCGCGCAATTTTGATATTGTTGATACAACATTTGATAACTTGGCGTTAAAAATTTAGCAATCAACAACCTTTTCATCTTTCACAATGATTGTATAGGTTGTTTTCCATGCCTCCTATGGTTAGTCTTTACTTGTTCCCAGCATGCTGAAGCACCTTTCTTAAGCATGATTGTTACAACAGGAACTTGCTTGTGTTCGGTTATGTCAAAATACTCGAGAAAGTACTCAACTTCATTAAGCCAATCCAAGACATCCTCAGCACAAAAACTAGAAGCGAAAGTAAGTAAATCGAGTTTTTTTTTTGTGAAACTTACGATTGTCTGGATAACTATAGTTTCTGTCGTGTCCATCCATCACTTCTCGAAATTTGAACTTCTCATCATCAAAAGAATCCGCATAACCTGGAGGCCTACGTGGATATACAGGAACATAACCCATATTCGGTTGGCTGCGAGACACATCATCAGCGTGAACTTGAACTGAATCACTAACTTGGTTGCCACAAATTGCTGCTACGAACCGATCTTGAGTATGCATGGCTGCCCAAGGGGCCTACACTCCCCGATCAACATCGCGAGAGTGGTTGCTGCCATAACGATCACTCACCATCAAACCAGGGTACGACAAGGCTCTGATACCAACTGACGTAGTGGAAGCGATAAACATTCACATGGAATGGGAGTTATCTTGAATCCACAAGATAGGGTACCTTGAATCCACAAGGAAAAGAAAATTCATAGAGGAATACGATATTTTATTGATAAAATTGATTGATCTTTTTTGCTATTGCAGTACACATGTTTTTATAATAAATAAAACCCTAAAACTATAAAGCAAACTAATAACCTAAAAGAAACTAATTGCTTAAGTAAACTAAAAATTTAAAGAAACTAATTGTAGAAGGAAATTAAAAACCTAAAATTAAACTCCCTCAAAATTATACAAAAAATAAAAATAAAAATAATATAAAACCTACTAAAACCGTCCTACATCAGATAATATCATCTTAAAAATTTGTTAAGAGATTGTGAAGTAAATATTTATTAGAAGCAAGGTAGAGAGATTTGACAAGAGAAAGAGAGCTGGGTGTCTTTGTGCACTCTTATATCTATTGTCAATGAGAAAGAATCAATGCACATTCCTCTTTAATTGACATTGAAGTGATTCATCCACATTTAAAATGAAATTGGCAACATCAATCATAAACTCCCAAAATCTCTGTTCTTTTTCTTGTTTGTGATTCTTAAGTGCCAGGGTATTCATTTTATCAATTTGCTGAATATCTCTCTCTATTTTCAGCCTAGTCGCACTCGGTCCTTCTCTACTCTCTTAAAAAGTTTACAATCTAAAATTTTCCTGTAACCTCTTCTGAAACACTTTACAAGATTTTCTCTCTAGAACTTTATAAAAATCTGCACAATGTGATACTAAAGCAACCGCCGAAAACATCAAAAGCCACAATAGCTTCATGCAACAACCATAGCAGAGCTGAGAGTGTGTTTTTCTTTTTAAGAAACCACCGGGGGGAGCGCCGGCCCCCCCCCCCTCTCTGTGTAGAACCTGAAGCAAGTTGGAATATTTTTAAGAAATGCAGGCATGAGTATATATGCATCTAATTGATGGCTGTGTTGGTTGTTATATTTTTTTGCTGTTTATTTGAATTTTTAACTTCTATCTTCCCTATGAATTGGTACATGTATCTTGAATCTATCTTTTCCTTATGTGTGCAGAGCCTTATAATTATTTTGGGAGAAGAGGAAGGAAAGAACCTGAAGCTCTTGCTGCTGCTTCCTTGAAGCGCTTATTTGTAGAGAACAGGCCGTACTTGGTTGGTGGATACTGCCAACGTGCATCGTTGGGCAACACATTATCTTCTAGTGTACTCTTTGGTTCTAAATTCTCCTTTTCCCTTCAAAAGCTAAAAGCTTCTCAGCTTGATGCTCCTAAGAGCATACTTTCTATGGGTGAGAAATACAGACACATGAGGGAGACCTTTAGAAAGAGACTAGCATTTGGTAAGCTCGAGTTTTGCTTTCTTTCAGGTCTTTCTTTTACAAGTATCATGTGTTAATTTTGTTTTTCTTTTTTACGATGTTCTACGTTAACAATGTCATTCTTATTGTGCACTTGCAATATGTTTTTTCATGTATGGTTTCTGCTATGTGAGACTTGCCACTATATGCTTATTAAAAAATTGCATTTATCTGTATTGATATTTCCGGTGGCTTTGTACAAAATTGTTATTGAGTCCTGATTGCTGTTTGGAAAGTCAAACAACCACCTTTTGTGCTGGTGGATAGTATGCGCACAGATCTGATGCTTACAATTTTATGGTTCTTTATTTTATATAGGAAAAGAGTAAATTTTTGTTTTGCAGAAGCTGTAATTAAGGTATGACAAGTGATTTCTAATAAACGAAAAGGGCAATTGATGAAATGTGGCAATGCTCTACGGTATTATTGACGGTGTGTGGGAACGATGTCACTTATGTCACGTGGGACTCCAAAAGTCTGTATGTGGTAGTTCAGGGTAATGGATGAGACAACATTGTTATTCTGTTGTAACAAGTTTCCTCCAATATGATTCAGTATATCATCAGTTAATTAGCCATACTTGAGGCCTTTTCTTTTTTTCCTTTAGAAACCTATGCTCTGAGGCGATTAGAGATATATCAGTCTTTACTCGGTGGGCTTTGACCGTCGCTGGGGACTGTTTCCTTTCCGTTGGCATCAGAATACTAAGATGTTTGTTGGCCTAAGTCAATTTTATTTATTTTAATTAGTTGGCTCATTCCATTTGTTTCTGTTAATGTATTTCTCTTAGTTTGAAAATGCATTAATTCTCATCCAAGATTTTATATTTGTTTAACACTGTTACTTCTGCAACCACCACATTACTTTATTAATGCTACAAACTAAAAAACGGCCACCTTACCAGTACTGGAAATTCAATATCATGCCTTGCCAAGGAAACTCGATTTACCTTAATATCTGTTCCGATCTGTGGAAATATATTTGAACTGTTTCCACCGGTATCATCACTGCCATCGTTGACAGGGTCAGTTTCACTGAAGCCTTGTGTCCACCAAGATCAAAGCTGCCAGCACCTCTTCTGCTACAGCCCGCCTTCATCCTGGACACAATAATAACTAAATTCACAGTAGCATCATAATCAATTTTACTATAATTCAACCAGAGCTGCCTCTTCAACTCACCACCTGGGCTATCAACTCAACCAGTCCTCTTGAGGCTTCTGGAAAGCAATTAACATGATTCAATTTAACTGGAATGGAATTTAATAAAGTTAACTTCAAATCCTCATACCGGCATCATTTTCTCGTATCAGACTACCTTAAAGAAGTCCATTCTGAATCTAGTCAACCCAATATCACGTTCTCTCATAAATTCTCCCTTAATTGAAGTTAAATCTTTTTATACGTTTCAATTTGTGCATAGTTTTAATTTGCAATGGTGGTCTGGTAATACGAGGTGGATCTTAGAGTTAAATTTTTGGAATAGTATAAATAGCTCGTAATGATGTTTGCAGTCATGAAATGCTTCGAAGAACGAAGCTCATGGCATCCTTTCTTTCTTCCTGTATTGATTTAGGCTTATAATCATTTAATCCTTTGTTACTGGGTGGTGTACTAATTAGTAGTTCTCTCTCTCTCTCTCACTCTCTCTCTCTTACACACACACACACACACACACACACACTCCCACACCCGCGCGCGCACGCACACACAAAGGACTATTTGGGTCACTCATTTGAAATATAATATTTTTTTGCTCTCCAAACTTCTGAGAAAATTAATACAGATGATTCATGCTGAAATATTTGCTTATTTCGATTTGTTAGTTTTGGAGAGACAGATGGATCTTTTTTGATAGTTGTGGGACCATGGGTATGACAACTCTAGGCCAAGTGTTTCAACTCATTTTAATGTCCCTCTCTGAAGCTGCAATGGTGTTTCTTACTGTACCACTCAAAGTTGCTTCATTGTTAGACTTTGGTTAGTGTTTTAAAAAACTTGCCCACCCTTAATAAATAAGGGGCTGTTAGAGATCAATGATGTTAGAGACTTATCTACTTCTAACTTTTGACGAAGCAAAAATAAGGAATATGGGATTACTTCTAAGATGATTATCTTATCAAAGGGGCGAGGAATTTGGATGCTCTTCAATATCTTTATAATCACTTAAAGTGGGTGTATATCCAGTTCTTTGTACAATTGGTAGCACCAATTTTATTTATAGAAGTTCTTTTTTCTATTTTTTAATTTTTAATTTTTCCCCCCAACTGATGAATTCCTTCTCTTTTCTAGTTTTATTGCCTTTCTTATTATGTTTCTATCTTTATGTCCTAATTACTTTGATTGGATCTTACTTTGTCTTCTGTTCCTTTTTGTTATAATGCTCTCCTGAGATTACTTTTTTAATAATTTTAATAATTGTAATTTATTTATTATTTTTTTTTAACATTATTTATGCTCTTACTTGGCTGATGAAATCGAATTGCACTTTTTTTCTATTTTGAACATTTTCACGTCTTGTGGTCTTTCCATTAAAGTAGCATACTGTAAATTCATAAAGGTTTTGGATATGCTAACTTATGATATCTTGATTCGTACTCTGTCCCCTGCCCCTCTTCCCCTGGTGAGCACGTAGAAGTAGGAAATTTGTTATTATATAATTAAAATGTTATATTCCTTTTTAATTTTTAATTTTTAATCTATAACAAAAATGTAGTTGATTGATCTAAAGTTTCCTCTATTCAATTTGTTTCTGCTGATTATTGGATTGCCCTTGGCTCCAGGGAAATCTGGAATACATGGATTTGGCATCTTTGCTAAGCACCCACACAGAGCAGGAGACATGGTAACATGATTTGATTAAGACAAGAATCTTAGATCTTTCTAAAAATTTGTAGCATCTGGTATATGTAATAAATTTTATTTCTTTGTAGGTGATTGAATATACTGGCGAACTTGTTAGACCCCCAATAGCTGACCGACGAGAACACTTGATATACAATTCGCTAGTGGTGAGTTGTTTAAATATATTGTGGGTTGTGTTCTTTAATATGTATGCAGTCATGGTAGCACCTTCTAAATTATTATTATCTGCATTCATCAGAGCACTACTTGCATGAACGCAATTTAAGAAGTCCCTTTATGCATAGAACACCAATTGTTTAGATGGATGGCTTTTGCTGACACTTGAGAGCAACTAGCAATCAAAAACCTATATCTATATGTGTGTGGTTTTAGTCTGTTTACATGAGAAAAGGGTTGCATCAACTTGGTTTTTATGTCCTTAATTGTTTCATTTTGATTGTGTTGCTTTTGAAATTTATGGCTTCTATCAAGGTTAAGTATTTTGAGTTTACTCACATTTCATATTATGCTTGGAGTTAATGACTAATGGTGCTTAACAAAAATGAATTGGAGTTGGTAACTTCTGGTAAATAATTAAAATCACTGCAAATTGCCAAGTAGCACAGTTTTTTTAGTGCATTATACAGCTGATATGAACTTTGGTGCTCAAAAGGTGCTCTGCTTGATCACTTAACGATTTCTCCAAGGGAGTCTATATATAGCGGTGCAGTTGGCTTGGACCATGCTAAACCTCATGTGAATCCAGTCTTTGCTCAAACTTTTGAGCTTGAGTCTGACGATTTTAAGTGTCTGGATCCATGCTCTCTGCTGTTTAAAATCCAACCACGGATGTGACTAAGCTTCCTTTAATGCTACATAACTTTTACTAGAAGGAAGGTGTAAAATGGCAATTGTGCAACATCTATTGTTGAAACATAAAGCTTAACTCTGCAACTGCCTTATAAAACTTTACAATGGAAACCTACAACTATAGTTAATGATGGTTTAGTTGAATCATATGCTCCTAGATTGGTGGACTGTATTGTTATTTTTTCTTTCTTTTTTTACTCTTGCTATATTTGTAGCGCTCTCTGGTGAATTTGTCTTGCTGGGTAATTTTTAGAATGATATTGCAAATTTATTTGGACGGCAAATTCTTCTCTTGTAGTAGCTGATTTTTATTGATGTTTTAGAAGTGTCATACTCAAAATCGACATATAGAGCATGAATCTGAAGTGTGGTTTGAAAGCATGTTTAACAATATTTCAATTGCAGGGGGCTGGGACTTACATGTTCCGAATTGATGATGAGCATGTCATTGATGCCACAAGGGCCGGAAGCATTGCACATTTGATTAATCACTCATGTGAAGTATGTATTATCAACTGCTGCTTACTTATTTAGTGTATTGCTTAATTAGAACGTGTTTTCTGAAATGTTTCTTCATTGTTCAGTTAGATGTTAAGTTCCTGCTAGTTAAGTAATTTGTAAACTACTTGTCAAAGAAACCTTGAAGTTCCACATATACCTGAAACTCTTTAATATGTTTGTATAACTTGAAATATCATTGCAATCAATCATTTCTTTATGTTGCAGCGATCTACAGTGAATTGTAGCAAATATGCTACTAAGTTGGGCTCTATATATAAATTTTTTATTTCCAACTTATGATATATTGTAGTTTAACCTTGATGATCTTCTTGGCGGACCTTATAAATTTTGATGCACCTTTTTGAACATATTTCAGGCTTAAAATGTGATTAGGAGCTATGGTCTCTTAGACCATATGCACAAATAACAACATAAGTCATCAGGCTTAGCCATTCTATGTGATTGAAAAGGAGAATCTTTGGCATTATTTACTAATAGTATTAGCTAAATCAAAGTTCATATATTATTTTAGAGTCCATAATAATAATAAAAAATATAGAATATGATTGATGTGCTTATCTTGACTGTTAATAGCTAAAAAGCATCTGCTTAATGGTTTCAAAAGCACTTCATTGAAGGTGCGGTTCACAATCACTGGATCAATAACGAACATTAAAAAAAATAAAAATAAAACAGAAAATGAATACAATATTTATCATTTACGTGGTTTGGCAAGTTGTCTCGAGAGGATATCAGATCCATGGCTACTTTGTATTAAAGTTGCAGAAAATCATGCCCCCCCCCCCCTCAATTTCTACAACTAAAACCCATATTTTGTAAGACACTATAGAACCGTTGCAGAGGACTACTCATACTCAATTGCCCACTATATTTGGGTTGTTTGGAAAGCAGACCCTATTTACAAAAAACAATAATCAAATAAATGCTCGACTCTCTCATCTTATATTCTTCCTTTTATTCTTCTTTTTTATATTTTTATTTCTTTCTTCTTCTTCTTTTTTTATTTTTATTTATTTTTTTATTTTTAAAGAAAGTTAGGAAGTCAGACAGATTTCCAAAATCAAATTTATAGAATCATCCAAATTTGATTGTATATAGTAGGCTAACTTCTGAAATCCATGATAATAATTTTACTTTGATGTTTTCATAATTACATCTGCAGTAGTTCCCAATTCTTTACTAATATTTTATAGCATGGATGGGTTTGTGGGCCTCAAATGCATTCACATACTATTTTATTTGGACTACCTTTTCAAATAAGTAGAATACATTTTTATTTCCAAGCATTTTTATAAATTTCTGAATTTTTCTCCATTCCCATTATATTTACGGAAATTTTTTGATACTTTTATTGCAATCTTGACTATCAACATATTGTATACTCATCTTGTTATGATGTTTTACCCAGCTTCCATTATTTATTTGACACATTACTATCAATGTGAAATTTGTTTCAATTTTTTTATTGAACCTTAATTGTAATTTTCTATATTTTTTTTTTTGGCTTCCGTAGAAATGTGAATCCCATTTTCCCTTGTTCTGGTTAATTGCCTCAAACTCTTTTAGTTCCATTTGCTTTCTGGTATTTGATCGACCATAGGGCATATTCTACCCATATCAAATTCATTCTCTTGAATTGTAACGTAAAAAGCTCATAGAAGAGGAGCTGATATTGCAATATTGCATGTATTTATAGTACTCTGAAACTATATGAAGGTATAGTATTACAGCTTCGTGGATCATTGATTTTTACTAGTCTGTTCCATTTCTTGCAGCCAAATTGCTATTCAAGAGTTATAAGTGTCAATGGCGATGAGCATATAATTATATTTGCCAAAAGAGATATTAAACAATGGGAAGAACTGACCTATGATTACAGGTTTTCCTCTAAACCATGCTCTATATTCTCATTGTCTGATACTGTGTGTACTTACTTCTTGATTTAAATTGCAGATTTTTTTCAATTGATGAACAACTTTCATGTTATTGTGGCTTCCCAAGATGCCGGGGTGTTGTTAATGACATAGAGGCAGAGGAACAAGTAGCAAAGCTATATGCACCACGCAGTGAATTGATTGAATGGAGAGGAGAATGAGATAGGTTAGCACGGTTCTTGATCTTTTGGGTTCTTTAATATTTTTAATGTTATGGGTTCCTAGTGCTGATGTGCTGCTTGTTTAAAATGTGCTTCTTGAAACATTTCTTGTCTAGAGTTGGGATATTGGTATGCTGCATTGGATTCTTTTTTCTTATCTTCTTTGAAACAGTCAAATTGAAGCACAGAAACAATTGGAAATGAAAGATTAATGAGGCTCTAAGATGATTACGTTCTGAGTGAGCTAATCGTAAATTGTACACAAAATTTATGTGTGAATACAAATAAAAAAATAATTTATTGTTATGATACATATGCATATCATATCTTGTGACGAATAATCATTTTGTATGATTCATCACACAGTGTAAGTTTATAAATGTAGAAGTCGTCAAATCTAAACACGTCATGGAAAGGAGAGCAGTGGAATTTATATATATATATATATATATATATATATATATATATATATATGTATGTATGTATGTATGTATGTATTGGCTGTCGAAACCCACATAAAGCCATGTGGCTCAACAGTTCCTTGAAATAAGAGGATACATGACACCCACCTTGGAATCTCAGACTGAAGAGAGATTCTTTTCCATGTCGCACAAGACAGCTAAGATATGCCAAGATGCTAGTTAGTACCGACAGCTGTATGAGAATAGTTTGGAGCTACAGTTTGCGACTTTGCTCTGAGCCATAGTTTGGCAGTCTTCAGCCAACTGATTGACCCGATTGTCGGTGTGGCTTGACTTTAGCGTGCAATGTAGTTCAGGATCACAATATATACCCTTATATATTGTGTAACATTATGGCTGTCACATTTATGGTGTGGCACCATATCTCAGAAAAAAAAATACACATTTTGTGTGTTTTTGCTTGTTGATTATGCTAATTCTTTAATCCTGTTCACTGTGTAATGTATGTGCCTTACAATCTTATAATTTTGCAACAGTAGTATATATTGCAGTATAATATGGCCGTACTGTACCATAATTCATATTATTATGACATAATCATCAATGTGTTTTCTAAAGGTAGGATTATCTTTTCAAGGAAAGTGTACTTCATCAATGTATTTTGTTGCTTTTCACAGTCCCAGTTTCAACTCAGAACGTGCTAGAAGAGTTATAGAATGACTTGCTTTGGGGAGTATTGGAGATAGGGTTTAAATCTCATTTGGTGGTGTAAGATATATGGCTTGTTCTCTTGCGAAATTGGACAAGGAAGTATTAAACCAAGTGCTGTTGAAAAAAGGTTTGTACGGAGCAGGAATAACCTTTGGAGTGAGAGTGGTTCAAAGGAACTATGACTTTGAGAGGTGATGTGTTATGCAGAAGAGTGGAATGATTTCTCCAAGCATATTGGGTGTACAATGGGGATTAGTTGTCGATTCAGCTTTTAGCTTGATCGATGCTGTGGGGAGGATCCTCTCAAATGGAAGTTTTAGAATCCTTTAGAAATTGCTATAGATGACAAAGGCCCTTGTTTCTAACAATTTTAGGGTTACACAGGGAAAATGGTTTATGATATTCATTTGATAATAGCTTTGCAGGATTTGGTGGTAGTGGTAATCAATGCATTTTATATATTGGTATATCTTGGACTGTGAATGTGAGGGTGGAGAAATTGAACGTTAAGAGTTGTCACGAAAGGCAACAAGTACTGCTGTTCAAATACCTTGATGGAAAAGCAGCTTGCCTTCAAAATGGAAGAGGGCAAATAGAAATGGAAGAGGGCAAATAGAACTTTGCTTTTACTAGAACTAATTGGACATTGGTCTTTCAGTGGTTTAGTGTATACTTGTTCCACAGTTCCACTCTGAATATTTTTGCAAGTAAAAATAAACAATTGATGGTATTATTTTAGTTACTTAAATTGTCATGATTCTGCACCAAAAAAAAAAAAAGAAAAGAAAAAGAAAAAGAAAAAAAGATTTAAAACAAAAAATTAGGTGATGCAATTTATTAGTAATACCAGGAGTTGGTCAAAAGTTTCGAGTAGACAAGTTAGACTATAATGTTTATGCCATTAAGGATATGAGAGATATTTTCTCAGGAAGTTACAGATCTTCTGCTCTGTTCTACAAAGAGTTATACTATGATGTGATATAGGGCCTAATAAATCCACTTGTGAAGTCTTTATTCTAAGGAGATGATAAACAGCTAATTCATGTTTATTCCCTTGACGAAATTTTGAATTTTAGGAAGGTGCATCATGCGTGGCAGCTGTAAGTTGAAAAAATTCTCATCCTTAATTCCATCTAGAATTTTTTTTTTTGGTTTTTCTAATTGATTAATGAGATTAATTACATTAACCACACCTGCATTCAAAGGTTTCTCCCAATTAAAGGAAATGAAAAAGCACTTTAAAAGTAACAATTGTTTGGATACTGGAAAGAGCAGATAGAAGAAAAGAGAGAATAATCATTTGCAATGCTAGCTATCCAATCTATGGGTGAAACCACCTTCACCACCATCAACAATCACTTCCCCTAAAACCTTGGCCATCTACACTACTACCTCTGAAAAAGGAAAAAGAAAGGACATGCAAGTGGTACAGAATACCCAATTACATAGCAAAAGGAAATAATTAAAACAATATAAAATGCCATATTATATTTGACATCTATATTTGCAGACTCATCCTTTTTGCTAAATGGGCAAAAAGTTGGTAATTGAATTGGAGAACAATCACGGTAAAAGATTAAAAAATATTACTCTAGAAGCATTAGGGTGGTGAGTGATGTGTCAACAGTGAATCTTACAACCACGAACCCTGCCCATTGATTTCCCACATGTTGAAATGGTGTTTGCTAAACCTGCCGATATTGACATTTTCATTGTCATAATTGTGATAGTGTCCTTCAGATCAACTCTTTGTGCTTGCGCTTCTCTCCTCTTTTCAACTTTTTAGTTGTCTTTTCTTAGTTGGCTTCCATCTCTTCCTACGTGTCCACTTGTGTTTATTCAAAATCATTTTTTTTCTCCTGCCAATTATCTCATGACTGATTCATCATTTCTCCTGCCAATTATCTCATTACTGATTCATCTTCAATATACTGCTTTTGCTGGTTCCTTTCTCCTTATACTGATAAAATTTTAATCTTCATTATGCAGAGGTTTTCCATTGTTGATATAGGTCATTGTGAGATCCTTTCCTTCGGAGAAAAACTGTTCCTCACAACAATCTGCTGCTTGTTGCCTGCTGTTTGGTCATGGCAGATGTGACTAGCACTCCAGTTCTTATAATTTTCTCCGATTCTTTTCTTAAGGCGCCAAAAGTGGTTCCGCTTCTTTTTCTTAAGCTGATTCCTCTTCTAAGCGTGAACATAACAAATCAATAAATGTGTTGTTTTTAACGTTAGCAAGATTCTCAATATAGGAAGGTTCACTTTGTCTTCACATTGATGGTTGACAATGTCAGGAATGGTTATGGAAAAAGCTACGATGGGGGTGCTCTCAACGTGAGTATGCATTGAATCTGTAAATCACTGTAAAAAGTTGAGAATGCTATAAATGAAATAACTGCCATTGTATCTGCCCAAAAAAAAAAAAAAACTGCTATTGTAATTTATATAGTGTCAATTTGGTACAAATTCCAATGGCGTAATTTTTCGTGTTCCTATATCATTTTCCACTTTAATTGATAAATTGCTCAAATAGAGGATTAGCTCTTCACGTTTCGTGTTGATCCTTCATGTTGACAATAATCTATTTGTGATCAGCCTTATTACCATCCAAAGCTAGTCGTGTCCTACATTTTGTTCCTTTTGTAGAATTGTAAAAATGGCTGGGCCATTCCGACAAAATGGAGGCGTGAGTTTGGCCCAGGCCCATCATGCTCTCTTGATTTCTGTCCTGGCTGGAACGTCCTGATCTGAAAATTCAAAACAATGTCAAGGTCCTTTTATATCTATTTTGTTTTTAGAAGTATTATCTAATGTTAGTATAATTTTGTCTAATACGCCTTGGGATGCATGCTCATTTGTTATGTTTGGTTGGAAGGAACTAGGAAGGATGGAAGAGAGGGGTAAAAGAAGCTTCCCTTGTTTGGTTGGAAGGAAGGGAAGAGAGGAAGGAAGCAAGGAGGGAAGCATCCTTCCTAACCTGCCCAAAATTGGGTGGAAGAGAGGAGGGATAGACAGGAAAACTAATCTATAAATATAAAATACCATTTTTAGCTTTCAATTATCTTCAAAATTATAAAAACTCTCATTCCCTTTCTTCCAATTAAACAAAATAAGGAGTCACATTGTCCATCCTTCCCATTATCCTTTCCATCCAACCAAACAAAATGTGAGGGATACGACATCCTTTCCCCTTTACTTCCATCAATTTTTCCATCCCTCCTACATTAGCTTGACTTCCCTTATAATTGGGCTGGGATCAAAATCACCGTAAAAGAAAGGGAAAATTCTTTCTTAGTGCTACTCTTACACCTAAAAGACAATAAAGTCCTAAAAAAATTTATTACGACAAACAACTCCTACTTTTGTAATTTATTTCCACCAAAGTTCAAATTTTATTTTATTTTCCAAGATTACCCTTATTATTAAAGTACCAATCGTCTTCAAAGATGCGAATTGCAGCGTTTGGCAGGATTGCAACGTTTGTTGCTTTCATCGGAGAATAATCAATCCAACAAGCTCCCCTCTTTTTTTGTGTAACTATCCAACAAGCTCCCCTCCTTTTCACAGTCTTCCCATTTTTTGTGCAACAATCCAACAAGCTTCCGTCTTGGCTCTTATGGTGTTCGAGTCTCTTTCTTCTCTTCCCGGCAACGTCAACTGGATGAAGAACACCCTCATTGGTGTATTGTTGCTATATTGTTATCCTTCACCCTCTCCGAGAACGGCAATGCCCTGTCCAACTCGGCACCTCTGTCGATGTTGACCGGAAAATTCAAAACCACAAAGAATGGTAAACTAGTGATCGGTTCTTACCCTAAAACCAGCTTTCTTATCTGATGTCTTTGAGGAATGTTTCACTCCCAAATGAACAGAAAACGACGGGCTGTGCCCGAAATTGACCTAACCACTTGGCCCATATCTCCTCGAGCACGCGGTGGGTGGCAGGAGATGATCGGACCGGCCAAATTGAGAGGCTAATGGTGGAAACAATTGTTGTCCAAAGTCAATGAAGACAAAATGGGGTTTGAGTTGGGACAAGAGGGTCTTAATTTGGGGTTGCATTTGGTCCAAAGCAAATCTTGAAGAGTTCAGAGGTCAAGGGTGCCATGTCAGCGGTCTTGTGGAGGCCGGATTGAGGGATGATTTTGGTGATGGGAGTGAGGTGGAGGGTGTTCTTGATCCGGTCTGGTCGACATTTTTGCTTGATTCTTGCCGGATCGTCTCTGTTCGTTGGTCCCTTGTTATTTTCTACACCTTCCTATCCTTTACAGTACGTGTAACCTATACTAGCGATGCACCCAAACATTAATGAAATTTACTTAACAAAAGCAAACCTTAATAATATGGGTAATCTTGTGGAAAAAAATTAAATTTGAACTTTGATGGAAATAAATTGCAAAAGTAGGACTTATTTGTCCTGATAAATTTTTTTAAGACTTGATCGTCTTTTAGATGTAAAAGTAGGACTTGGAAGGAATTTTCACTACAATAAATTATTGTTTAGTGTACTATCCATTCTTTGCCTAAAAAATATGTTGTTCTTTTCAAATGACCTAATTTTCATCTTAATTTACGTCAAATAAAATGTTAAATATTGTACCTTATAATTTTTAATAAGCCATTTTGCACTTCTCTTTTTATAAAACCCTTTTAAGGTACATTCATAACTTAAGTTTTGGGCATCTTTTTATATAGGGTAAAATGTGTAGTAGTTTGTAATTTAAATTGATTGGGGGTGGTGGTTTTTCAGTTTATTGTGTTGTTACTTGTGAGTAATGTTGTTTTCCTCTGGCATCTTAATGTGCATTTTTTTTTTTTTGATAAGTAAAATTTATTGAAAAGCGCTCGAAAGGGGAGCGAAACAAGGACAAACACGAGGCAAAAAAACGCCTCAAGCCTTTAAAGAGGCCAAAAAAACAACAATCTCATCCAAAGAACGAAAATCTCTCCTAGAAACCCAACAAAAAAGGGTGGAAATAATATATAACTTAAGCATAGAGATAGGCTTCTCCTGTCCATCGAAATATCTCCGACTTTTCTCAAGCCAAATGCACCACCAAATACAAAGAGGCGTAGCTCTCCAAGCGTCCCGAATGAGAGCCCCCACAGAAAATCCTCTCCAAGCCTCAATCTAGAGGATCGAGGCATAACCCATGGAATTCCAAACAACCGAAGCATCAAATCCCAGCAACCCCTAGCCATGTTGTAATGAAGCAAAAGGTGATCAACAGTCTCCTTATCTCGCTGGCACAAATAACATTGATTAACCACTACCTGATTTCTCCTCCTCAAATTATCCTGGGTTAAAATCCTACCCAAGACAGAGGTCCAAGCAAAGAAAACCACCTTGAGGGGAGCCTTGGAGCGCCAAATAGACTTCCAAGGGAAATAACCTCCAGAGCCAGCTGTAAGACACCTAAAGAAAGACCTCACCTCGAAGCAACCCTGAGGATTAGGATTCCAAAGCCAACAATCAGAATCCCTGGCTGTAATTGTCTGGCGGTACAATAAATCCCAAAAATGGGTGACCTCCTCAATTTCCCAGTCGTGAAAATGCTTCCTAAACAGAACATCCCAAGTCAATCTCCCGTTATCAAGATGATAACAGTCAATCACCAAGGCCTGCCTATGGGAAGCAATCCTGTAGAGCCGTGGGAAAGCGAGCGCAAGAGGAAGTTCCCCACACCAAATATCCTCCCAAAATCTAATCCTCCTACCATCCCTGATCCGAAAACGAACATGTTTGCAAAAATCATCCCACCCCTTTCGAATTCCAGTCCAAAAATCATCTTAATGTGCATTTTCTGAGGCCTCTTCATTTAAGTTCATGGAATTTTCAGTTTATTGTTGAAAATTTACCTAATTTGTTTTCTGTGGCTGTACTAGGTATTAGGTAGTTGGGAATCTATGTCATCTAATCTGAAAATTTTATACTTTGTGCTTTACCATAAGTTTTGCTTTCATTTAGTCACACAGTATCCAGAAGAAGAGATGCAATGTGGCCTATTCATGTGTCAAATCGGTGAGCCTCATGGTGATGGTGACATTTAGTTACACTGAGCTTCCTTAACTCGACTCAATAATGCATTTTCTAAATTATTTGAGTCGGCTTCAGGAATCTTATTTTTTCATTCCACTCTGAGGCCATAGTCTAACTCAAATGACATCTTACCATTTCTTTCCTTATATTTTTAGGATTCATGTTCATATTGGTCCTTCCAAAACTCTCAAACTATTTAACACAACCCTCCTTTTTTTCAGACTTGGGACAAGTTCTGTAAAAATAAGGCACTTGTATTGTCAGGTAATTAAAAAAAAAAAAAAAAAAAAAAAAAAAAAGAAGTAAAAATAAAGCACTAAACATGACATAGGCGGAGTAATAATCAATTCCCCCCTCCGATGATGGTGAATACTGCTCAACGATTTTTGTAGATTTTATTTATTTAAAATTTAAAATGCCAATTTTACCTTTGATATAGCTATTTTATTTTAATTTCTATTTCAAAAGTATTAAAAGACAAAATAAGTAAATTATCAATAGGAAGTTTTTAACGAGGAAGGTCAATGTAATTTTTAAAGAATGGGGAACACGTAATTCATCGATTCCCAGGGAGGTCAGTGTAATAACCTACTAATTAATGATTTATCCTTTCTTGCATCATTCATTCATATTTTTTACTTTCTGCAAAATTAATGGTTGTATCGAATTATATAACTAATAACTTATTTTGGGAATTCGATCTAAATTTCAAGCACACACATGGTCAAAAATGAATGCGGAAATTTACACTCACCTCCCCTGAGGTATAGTAATTAAATGGGGATCTCCTGTTGATTCAAAAATTATACCACATACCCTATGAAAAAACATTTTGTTGGACAACCTTTAGAGGGAGCGTGATTTTGCCTCTTTGGCCTTGGTGGTTAATATAGGATTTTAGTTAAAAAGAGTTAATAAAGTGAGAAGACTTGGGAAATCTAGTATTTTAAAATTTAAATTATTAAACATAAACAAATTCTGTCCTTCGACTATTAAATGTTAATGTAGAAGAGGAATGTATTACAAAGTACTAATTTCAGGGTTGGTCAGTATAATTTTTGAAACAAGGAAGACACCGTATAATTATACTATACTTCATAATTTACCAAATAAATATTGTAATTATACTATAATTCATAATTTACCAAATAAATATTGTTAAAGGACCTAGTTTCGTACCTATTTTTTTCTACCTTGGCAAGAAACATACACTCACACACCCACTTTACCCCTACGGGGAACTTTAATTCCTGAAGTGTCTTCGTTTTGATAACTAGGAGGGAACAGAAATGAGAGGATAGCATTATTTATGAGAGAAAATAAAAAAAATGAGAGGGACACTGCTAACCTCTCCTTGTATTTGGATAACTTGTGAGAGAAAAGAAAGGAAAAGAAAATGATAACCTTTGACCATGTTTGGGAGAGATAGAGGAGAGAAAAAAAGAAAAAAAAGAGGAATGCTTTGTTTTATTTTGTTAATGGTAAGGCAAAAACAGGAATTCACTTTTTATTAAAAAAAAAAAAAAAAAAAAAAGGGAACAAAACCGGTGATTACTAACTCCTTATCCTTTCCCTCTGCTTTGTCCCCCCTTTTGGAAGGATACGAAAATTACTGTTCAAATGTGTTAATGAACTCTAAATCTTTTCCTTTCTCTCCACTTTTGTAAAGCAAACACAAGTTTAACTATCCTTTTGTCTCCTTTCCTTTATTTTCCTTCTTTTTCTGTCAATCCAAACGAGCCCTAAGAGAGGGTGCAACAAGATTAGGAAAGCAAGGGATTGACCCACGATGTGTGTGCTATCGATGTGCTAGGGGAAACCATTCCTAATTCATTCTCCTTGTATAGGTGGTTTTTTTTCTCTCTTTTTTTTTTTTTTTTTTTTTTTTTTTTTTTTTTTTTTTTTGTCTTCTCAAATTATCCTAGTAGAGGGTAATTGGGAATTTGGGATACTTCCATTCTGTGTATTTCAAATTCTTTATTTTATTTTATTTTATTAAAATATTAAATTAACAACCATAACTAAGAAAAATGATATATAGAAAAGCAAGGGTTTAGTGTTGATTCTAATGTAAACTTGTGGTTTTTGCAAATTAATTAGTTTGGTCTTATAATTGCTAGTTTCTGCATCATCACGCATAAACATGATCACATCAGTTTGTCTAGTTGATATATATGCGCGCGCGCACACACACACTCTTAAATCTCTCCCTTTTGTATACTAGGGATTCTGCCACAAATTATTTGAGGCTATAAATACGCTATTTTTGTGTTTCTTATTTTAAAAATTCCTTTTGGTTAGTTGTTAACAAAAATAACTTCTTTTATAGATAGTGATTTTTATTGACTTAACCTTTGCTTGATCCTACAGTGTTTCGTAGCAAAAGTCAGTACAACCACTTCTAGAACAAATTAGTATGTCAGTTGTATTCTTATTTGGGTGTTTGAGTGCTTTTCTTCCATTCATTGGGAAAATTTTCTGGTTTTACAAATTTGTCAATGAATTGGCCAGATCATACCATCAACCCATCCCATTCAAAATCTCAGTGAGAAAAGTATGACTATATATATATATATATATATATATATATACATATACATATTTATGGACATATTTTGTTAGTCAAGGGTCTACTCAAGTTAATTCATCCCCTATGTACTGATGTTAAAAACTGATAAACTCTTAGCTTTATACCTCGCTTGGGCATACCGCATATGATTTAGTACCACAAGTTGACAACCTTTCTGGCTGCTTTTTTCTCAAAATCAAAATTCTCTTTACATAAAAGATACCTATACTTCTTTCTTGAGTGGTAACTTGGTGGTTTGAGTTCTAGACGCACTCCTTTCCGCTTTGAAAACATGTGGCTTAGATCCGAGGACTTTCAAGGGAAGGTTTAGTCTTGGTGGGAGGAAGCGAATTTCACAGGCTCTGTTAGTTATGTGTTAGCTAGAAAGTTTCAGTTTCTTAAAACTGAGTTAAAGAGGTGGAATAAAGAAGAGTTTGGGAATCTTGAATGGAAGAAAAATAGAGTTCTTGCTGATATTGCTGAGCTCGATCGTCTTGATGAGGTGGGACAGAGTGGGGAATCATTACGCTCTAAAAGAGCCTCTTGCCAAGCGGTTTTTGCTGAGATTGCTCTTATGGAGGAGATTTCGTGGCGCCAGAAGTCTCGGGCTTTGTGGTTAAAAGATGGAGATCGTAATACAAAATTATTTCATAGACTTGCTAACACTCACAGAAGATGTAATCACATCGGGCGTATCCAGGTCAATGGTTCTGAGTTGTGGAGGGAGGACGAGGTGCGCGGGGGGATTGTTTCTTTTTATCAGCAGCTTTACTCTGAGACTTTGGTTTGTAGACTTTCTCTTGAATTTAGGGGTGGCAATTCAGGTTCGCGTGTCATAATCGTGTCGTGTCGAACTAGGGGTATAACACTAAACATGTCAACCCGAACACGTCACGATTAATAATCGTGTCACATATCTTAAACCTGAACACGACACGTTTATTAAACGGGTAACACGACACGACACGTATAACCCGTTTAATAAACGTGTCGTGTTAGACACATCAAATCCGACCTGTTTAACCTGCTTAACATGTTTAACATGTTTACCTGTTTAACCTGCTTAACATGTTTAACATGTTTACCCGCTTAACTTGTTTAACATGTTTACCCGCTTAACCTATTTAAGGTGGCCAAAGATTAAAATACTAGCAAACATGACTAGAAATTTTGTACTGTGATGTAGTCCAAAAGAGAGATTAAAAGCCAAAGATAAAAATGAAGTCAGAAGTCATAAGTTATTACAGACTGAAATAAAAATAAGTCATAAGTTATTACAGACCGAAATAAAAATATTTAATAGAAATGTTAGAGTAACATGCAATCTTCTTAAAGCCAAAGATCCACTCAAAAACTTCCTTCTGCAATTTGCATGCACTCTTTTCTGAAACACCCAAAAGTACAAATTCCTACAAAACAGGTAAGTGTAAAATAAGTTTAGATAAAAAAATAAATAAATAAATAACAGATTGAAATATAAAAGAATGTACGTAACAAATTAGTTGAAGTGTGAAGACTATCAGATTAAAATGCCATCTTCTATAAATATACACGAAAGTTAATCATTTTTTAAAAATAAATAAAATTACTGAAATCTCTTTTCTCATTCTATTCTATGTACTCTTAATTATTATTATTTTTTTTGGGCTACAATTCTATATACAAGAGAGCTAGTATTTGTGGTTAAAATATTCCATTTGTTCTTTGTTCTTTCCCTTCTCTCTCTCTCTCTCTCTGGTTCTTCTTTGATCTTCTTCTATCTTTCACAAATTAAACCTTATCCACATAAGTTTTTCTATGATTTCTCACCATATACAAATTGCAAGGAATACAGAGATCTATGGAGGAGCTTGTAGAGAGTCACATTAACCTAATTATTGCCACTTCTCAAGGGGAAGATAGTTGTTTAATTTGTGGCAACTGTGTATGTTCATTATTGCAACTGTGTAAGTTTAATTTGTGGCAACTGTGTAAGTTTTTCTCTCAAACCTAGTTGCCTCGTGCAACTCCGGCATTTGAGTCAAGAATCTCATCAAGACTTGTTCACCATGTCAGAACCACCAAACTTGAGCAATATATTCCATGCACCACTTAATTAACTTGCAAAAAATGAGCCAAATTTCTCATCATTATAAGGATATACATGTAATAATTTGGAAAACCCAAATATTGGATTGAGCCCAATAAATCTCAATCTCAGTAAATTAATGAGCCATTAATTTTGTTCTTGGCGCACAAAATTGGAAGATCAGGTGTGTGTGCACACACAGTGGGTTTAACAAGATTCCAATGATCATGAGGTCATGATAAACTTAATTTCTTGTCCTACAATCAATGATCAAACATGTGACATCATGTATGAGTAACAACAACATTGCAAGATGATCACTACCCAATGAAAATATATCTAAGATCAAATTAAACTTTAAAATACAAAGGAATTAATATAGTAGGATATGTAGATATCAAATTAAACTGCAAGTCTGTATTGCTTAAGTTTATTCACCACCTTTACAAAGATAGCACATTGTAAATGTCAGTGTCCTGTTAGATGGCTCATGTTAATCTCTTTAATTGGCATGAAACAAACCCTAGTGAGTTACACTAGTATTTGGGCTAGAATTCTATATACAGGAGAGCTAGTATTTGTAGTAAAGTATATACAGTCTGATGTTGGTGGTTATCATTGTTAATATATACATCAGACAGAAGCACCGAGCGTGATACATATAATATATACATCAAACTTTCTAAAAACCAACAATAATAATGGAAAAAAAAAATAGATAAAATTTGTTTAAAAGTAGATCTGAAAGAAAAAAATTAAAGAAAACTTGTTTCTAAGTAGATCTGAAAGAGAAAAGACAAAAAAATTAGAGAAAAGTAGAAAACTCACTTCGATTGTTCAAGGTTTGTGTTCTTCGCTGGTCGCTCAAAGCGTAGACTGTAGTGTTCTTGGTCGCTCGAGGTGTGGTGTGGATTTGAGAGAGAGAGAGAGGGGGAGTTGTCTGGACTGTCGATTCAAAGAGAGAGAGAGAGAGGAAAGAGGAGAGACCGAGAGGCGAGAGAGACTGAATAAGGTTTAATGGTTTATTTTGTCTGGTTGGCTGCGTAAGTTACTAAGTTTGATAATTGATTATTTTGTATAAACAGTATAATAAGAATAGGGTTTCTTATGTAACTATGAAATGACCAAAATGTCCCCTATTAATTAGGTCAAAACAGGTAACGGGTTAGACGGGTTTACGGGTGACGCATTTAATTAAACGGGTTAAACGGGTTGAACTACACAAACCCGAACACGACACGTTTAACTAAACGAGTTATTCGTGTCAACCCGTTTACGACACGAACCCGTTTATGGTAAACCCATTACCCATTTAACTCGTGTCGTGTTGGCGGGTCGTGTTGAATTTTGCCTCCCCTACTCTTGATGGTCTTCCTTTGAATTCTATTTATGTGTTGGATAGTGATAGGATTGAGATTCCATTCACGGAGAGGAAGTGCTTAAGGCACTTTCTAGTTGTAACGGGGACAAAGCTCCAGGGCCAGATGGGTTTACTATGTGGTTTCTTAAGGAGAGTTGGGAGGTGCTGCCAGCTGAGGTGATGGGCACCTTTCAGGATTTTTATTCTCATGGCACATTTGAGAAATTACTGAACGCCTCTTTCATTGGTCTCATTCCCAAGATGGGCGGTGCCTCTAATATTAAGGACTTTCGGCCAATTAGCTTAATTGGATGTTTATATAAGCTTATTGCTAAGGTTCTTGTCTCCAGGATGAGTAATGTTTTGGATGGTCTCATTTCAGAATCACAGAATGCTTTTGTTGGTGGGAGGCAGATTTTGGATTCTGTTCTTATCGCAGGGGAATGTGTTGATTCTAGAATAAAAAAGTGGGGTTCCTGGTGTTCTGTGTAAGCTTGATATCGAGAAGCTTATGATCATGTTAATTGGAAATTTGTTCTGTATCTGCTTAGGAGGAT